CAGTCGCCGCCGCGACCCTCGCTGCCCCTCTCTTGTTCGCTGCGAGTTCCTCCGGCGAAATTCAGCGGCCCACTACCGGCAATCTCCGAATGCAACAACCACTTCCGGCGACCTCGACCCGACGAACTCCCCTCCGTGCAGCAATTGACCCCGACGGCTGCTCCTTCGCCATCAACGGCGAGCCTGCCCCCATCTTCGAAACCTTGCGGTCGTGAGCCGCTACCAGCAACTTCCGTCGAGCCGTTGACGCCGCTGTCCACAACCTCTATCGCCGCTAGCCGGTGGCTACATTTTTACTGTTCGTGGGTCCTAGTTGATGTCCGAGGTCCGAGCCCGTCACCTCTCGTCTTTCGTTCCGTTTTCGTTCGATTCTCGAGAACGGTACAAGGCTTGACCCGACTCGTGTATTTTTGCATGATATTATGTGCTCGATTATGTGAATGTGTTCGTTTGACGTGATATCTCGAATCATATGTGCTAGTATATGATGATGTGTTGCTATTGAATGAGAATTGTGAAAATTGTGTTATATATTTGCGAATTGGATATCAAAGTGATTGCCGTCACTTTAAAAAATTGTCGAAATGAATATATGTGGTTCGTTTCGTGGAAATCATGGAGTTATAGGTACTTGGAGTTGTCCTTGATCTTTTAGTTTTGGTTTGAGGTCGTTTCGAGTTGTATGTAGGGAGTTATGATTTTTCTAAACCGAGCATGCTGCTGAATCGTAATAAATTCACTATAAATCGAGTTGTTATCTGTTTGAGCTGAATTTTTGTTATATTGTGCCTCTGAGTATGTGGAATATGTGTGCCAAGCCCCTGAATTTATTTTTGAGTTTTTTGAGTTCAAATGCTTAAAACGGTTTCTGAGCAGAAACTTGTAAAATTTGTTAAAAATCGTACACTTGGAGTTTTGAGCTGAAACTTTCAGGAACCTGTTATTTATGATGGTTTAGGTTGTGTAAAAGTTTCAGACTGAAACTCAAAGTGTAGCTATACTAACTATTATATGCCGGTTTTGACGCTGTTTTGCTTAAAATTATTTAAAAATGTTCCCGGATGAATTTAGGGCTGAAACTTGGTGAGTTTATTTGTTTTTATATGCTTTATAATGTGGTAAAGTTTCAGGTTGATTGGATGAGTCTAGCTTTCGTTTCTGAATTTTGTTTATTTTAAAGTATAAATGTTCGGTTATCGGTTGGTTAGGTTCGGATAGGGTTTATTTAATGTTGGCATGTTTTATGTGAAATATTTGAGGTATATGAGTTGTGTCCAGGTCTAGTAGTCACTCCAAAGTACTTAACTCGGTCAAGGAATCCACGAGTTGCTTAGTCGATATGATTTCAACTAAGTATATGTGCCTTGTGTGGTATTGTATATTGGATAGTCAGTGATAGACTATTATAACTGTTGTAGGTTCGTCGAGCTGAACTTGTGCCATAATTCCTTCAACTCTGTGTTTGGCTATACCTCTTGCTATATCCAGGTGGGTTGTTATCCTAAAATTGTCTATGCAATAAATTGTTTACCTTACTTGTGATGATCAATGTATGATTACGAATCATGTAGCCGTCGATGTGAGTTGTATGGAACGATTGTCCCGTATTTATGAAATGAAAACCCGAGGGGTTACTCCTACTGACTGGGCATCGATAGAAGCCCATGGGGCATTCAATGTGTAAGACCGGAGGGCATAGACGTAAAGCCCATGGGGCGTTCGATAGAAGCCCGTGGGGCATTCGAAGCGTCTACAGGCAGTAGTCTATTGATATAGATGTGCACATGAGTCTGAACACTGTGAATTTATGTTGAAACTTGGGATACTTAATTGATTCTTATTCATGCCGAGATCATACTGTTGATTTGTTTGATTAACGTTTACTGCATAGTGGGGAGCACTACTTTTTCCAACTGTGCTCATCCCCACCTGAAATTCACGTTTCAGGTTAAGCAAGGCAGGTGCGACGACGGAGTCAAGCGAGTGGTGGTCGGTCTATAAGACTGGCCCTATTATTGTTTATGCTTCCGCATTTATGAATTTTCGGATTTTATGATTGAAAAATGATAAGGAGATGCTCCTTAAGACTTATGAATACTGTTTGGAGCCCGATTTGGGTAATATTGAATATCGCATTATTGATTATTGCATTATTGATGACTGATGATGGATTGGGTATTGAAAAATTAGATAAGTAATGAAATTTGTTTTGAAAAATGAGTAGCGCCTAAAGTGTATTGAAATAAATTTGAAAAATTTACTCTGATTTTCGGCAAATAAAAGTGGGGCGTTACACGGGTCTTCACCTTGTTTCCCTCCGAGCGGATAATGGTCCCGCAAGCGTGCTCATATCCCCTGTCAAAGGTGAAATCCTTGGGCGTCGGACGTGGGCCACCCGTGCCGCTATCTCTCTTCCCCGTAATAGCCTCCCGAAAGGGAAGCGGGCCAATGAAGGTGCCCAGAGGTGGCCCGGCTGCAGCGGGGTTGGTCGTGGAGGTGCCCGTCGACGGTGTCCCGTTCAAGGAAGGTCCGGTAGGATTGGTCGCGGGTTCCGAACTTGGGCCTGTGACAATCACACCGTCTTCTCGCACATACACTACATCCGGTTCAGAATTTCCGGCAGCAGCAGTGGCTATTCCGGCAATGTAATCGGTCGTGGAAGGAGAATTTGGCCGGGGTCCGAGTATTCCGGCCATTAAAGACGATTCCGGGACATCTCCGACTGGATTTTCGGTCGGCAGTGCTTTTCTGGTGGCCGTGACGACGCCGGCGCCAGCGCCGGGCAGTTGGTCGGCGTCTACCGATTGGAAGCTGTCGGCAGCTTGGGAATAGCGGGTGATGGGTTGTGGGCTGCTTAGATTGGTTGCGGGCTGGGGGAATACGAGCTGGGGTGAGGAGGATTGTGGCCGGATGGTGGGCTGATGAGATGAGGTGTGGGATTGAATGGGTAGGCCCAAGAAGGGGCTAAATAGCATGGGCTGAGGGATGGGGTCTGTGTGAGAAGCGGGCTGAAGAGAGACGTGGGCTAGGGTGTTTGAAGATTTTGGGTTGAAAGATATAGGCCCAGCTGGTTGGATTTTGGGCCTGGGAATGGGAGAGGGCCCAGATCTGATGAGATTGTTGTTGGCCACGTGAAGAGAGAGGGCCACGTCACCAAGCAGCTGAGGATTTTCGTGCACTGAGGCGCCGTCTTGAAAGATTGACAAGACCGGCGAGCTAATATCCGACGGCAAGGACCCAAAAGCGACCGGCCCATGAATTCTTACCAGACAGGGATCTGAACTTCCGGCGCCGGGGCCACCCGGATTTCCGGTCACAGAAGGAGGAATCTCCCCTTCTTCTAAGCGAGATTTGCTGCCCAAAAAATCCGCGACAACGAGCTGAAAATCTGGAAGCTTTAACAGGTTAAGGAATTCCAGTAAGAGATTGGTCGGATCTTGGGTGAGAGGAGACGAAAGCGTCGGTATAGGCTGTGGGGAAGGGGTCATGACTGCGAGGAAAGGACAACCAGAAGAAAGGGAAGGAAAAAGGCACGGCGGCCTGGGGGCCGGGGAGGCCGCCGGCGGCGGCGGCTGGAGAGGACGACTAGGCGGTGGTGGTGGCCGAGGGTGAGGGTGAGGAGAGATGGTGGTGGTTGAGGTTGAAAATGGAGGTGGTAAAATCTAGAGAGAGAAGGGAGAGCATTCTTTTCTTTGTCTTTTTCTCTGTAGTTGCTAGGTTAGTTCTATGTAATTGCTAGGTTAGTTCTCTGTAGTTGTTAGGTTAGTTGTCTGTAGTTGCTAGGTTAGTTCTCTGTAGTTGCTAAGTTAGTTCTTTGTAGTTGCTAGGTTAGTTCTCTGTAGTTGCTAAGTTAGTAGTTGCTAGGTTAGTTCTCTATAGTTGCTAGGTTAGTAATAGCTAGCTAACAACATTTAAGAAAACCTCATAAATTTTACCTAGCTAGCATTTTTTTTCATTTCTGCCACTTTCCGTTGCTTTTTATTTATTTTTCTTTTTTTATTTTGTTTATTCAAAAACAGATCAATTTTGGAGAAGAGTTGACTGTTAAAATTGGAATTAAATCAATTCTGCCATCATTACAAGTTATTGATTTAAAATGTTCTCATATTTTTTTAAACATTTAATTAGTCTGCACAATTATCAATAATTATTTATTTAATCTCAAAACAATTATAATTTAAATATTTATTTTTGGTATTCATAGTAAATTAAAAGAAATTAATGAACAACAAATAAAAATTAAATATCAGAAAATACATCCTATAATAAAAACAAATTAAAAATTAAAAAACAAATAAAAAATTCAGACGCTCCTTCTCCTTAGTAATGTTTGCAATTCCTGCAAAAAGTTAAATATCAACATTTAGTATACCACCAAACAAATTAATTATAATTATCGAATTAAAATTCCAAAAGTCAAAATATGAGGCGGGAAATAAAATTAAAAAAAAAATATGTGAATGTGTTTGCTATAAAGTTGAGATAATTACAATTCCAAATCTCAAAATAGGAGGCGGGAAAATGAAATTGAAAAAATTGAAGTATTTTTGGTCCAAAGCATCTATATCCCTTATTTTATAAACATTTTCTAACTCTAATAATTAAAAAGTAAATGTGGCACATAATCTGGAAAATAAAAGTCATACAAATTTGAGGCAGTCAAATAAAATCATTATGTAGACTTAATTATTAAAATATAATATCCATGATTATTTCACATTTTAAATATGCTAATTAATATTAAATAACACACAGTTTTTTAATTGCTGAAAAAACGAACTCAATTCTCAGTTTTTTCAATCAATCAACATTTATTTATATTCATTCTCATATTTTCAATCAATCAAATTTATTTATATTGGTTGCCTCTATTCAAATCTCCTATATAAATACTCAACTAATTTGTCAATAACACTCATTCCACTCCATACTAATCTAGGTGCAGTATGAGCCAAAAGATACTCTCATTACCTCCAATTGTTTTTTCTTAAAAAATCACCATGAGTCCCCAATTTGATAATTTGACATATTTAGCAAAAAACAAGGACATGACCGGAAAGCTCCGATTGGTCCGAAATTATCTCAAGTTTTACAAGTCGAGCAAAAAAAGCATAAGAGAGCTTAGATTCATCTTTCATGATGTTAAGATATTACTTTTTTAAAACGTTGTCGTATTTTGATTTTATTTAAATGTGTCAATGATATTTTGCTAATAATATATTTTTTTCTGTTTCTATGGGCAGCGGATTCATGGTTCGGCACCCGGTTCCTTGGCACAAAAGTTTAAGAAGTTTAACCTTCTCGAAGGATGTGTGTACGGGATTACAAGTTGGGAACTTAAGGAGGACAAAGATGCATTCAAATTAACCGAATCAAGTCATAAGTTTGAGTTTGGTGTAAACACAAACATGTAAGAGATTGTTGATGTTCAACTTCAAAAATTTCAAGGAGCTGTCCGACCCTCAAACAATTGATTCCAACAAGATATTTGGTAAATTTTTGGTTTATTGTGAATGCAAGTATTCTTACCATTGTGCTACAATATAAAATATTAATAATTATTGTTTTATATTTTAGATTTGATTAGACGTATTGCTATGGTCCAAAGCATACGAACAACTAATTCAAATGGTGTGGAAAAAAAGTTCATCGATGTTGTTCTAGAAGATGTTGAATAAGTTGTAGTTCATAATCACTTCCTTATAATTTAAGTAATTACAATTTTATTTGTTATTAAAAATTTATTATCTATAATTTTTTAGGGGATGCCATTTAACTTGCACATTGTGGGAAAGATATGTGCAAATCGTTATTGATGCCTTGAACAATACCCCCGTAAATAACTTGCGTGTAGTCGTCGTTCAATTTTGCCGAGCAAAGGCTTTTGAGGACGGTACATTCTTAACTTTTATTGATATTTTTTATTTAACATACAATCTATATTGTTATGGCAACATCATTGACATATCCAAAAATTGGTTCTTCAAATCTTTCCCAACTTGTGTTCAGAAAGTAGAGGCCAAAGGGGATAGATTTTGGTGCAACTATTGCAAGGACTCCATTCCCTTTGCTCTTCTTAGGTAATTATATTTCACATTTTATAAGTATCATTTATATTTATATGATTTAATAATATTATATTTTTTAATTGTTAAGGTACAAGCTCGACATTTCTATTGTGGACGACACCGACATTGTACAACTTTTGTGTTGGGATAAGGTTGTGAGAGAACTAATTGAAAAACCGTGCGAAGATGTTGTCAACGACATGTTGAAGGCATGCACACTTATTATTCCTCTAAATGCTTTAATGATTAATATCTTATATCAAAAGGTTTATTATTCTTGTTGCATATTTTATTATGCAGCAAGATGATGGACCAAATTTGCCAATTGAAATTGAGTTGTTGACTTATAAAGCAATCATGTTTAAAATATCAAAGAAGAATGATCAAATTGGACCTTATAACGGTCCATTTACGGTTGCTCGCATTACCGCTGATCCTATTTTTCTCAATCGGTTTGGACCCTTGGCAAACCCTTCACAAGTTACGTTTATAATTTTTATTTTTATATAAAATATTTTTTTATTATATTTTTGAATTCTATTTTATATTTTATAATAATGAAGGAATCAAAGGCTGAAGAAGTGTACAGCCCAATCAGGGCTGTAAAGGCTGAAGAAGTGTACAGCCCAATTAGGGTTGTAAAGGCAGAAGTGTACAACCCCATCAGGGTTGTAAAGGCTGAAGAAGTGTACAGCCCAATCACGGCTGTAAACGCTGAAGTGTACAACCCAATCATGGTTGTAAAGGCTGAAGTGTACAGTCCAATCAGTGTTGTAAAGGGCTGCAAAGAGGAGACAAAGAAGATAGAGCAAACTGAGTTGTTTGGCGACGGGTCAAGCTGTTCGGAAGAGCCGATGGGGAAGAAGAAAATAAAGCTTGAAGAAATCTGAGTGCACCACATGATTTCGATTGAAGTTTTTTAGAACTAAATTAGTAGAACGCTTATGTTTTGCGTTTGTTTTAAGATTGAAATGTTCCCAGTAACATTTGTTTGAATCTGAATGTAATATTTCTTTATTATATGAATAAATAAAGTTTATTATATTTAATGTATTTATTTATTTTTTTGCCTTTTATTAATAAACTACTTCAAACATTATTATTTATTTAAATATTGCACTCAGAACAAGTTACCAAACAGGAATTCAATAGGAACTTAGCAAACAGGAATTCAAATATTGCACTCAGAACAACTTAGCAAACAGAATAACTCAGACACATTTCATCCAACTTAGCAAACATAAACTTCAACAACTTAAAACAATGCATCAAACAGGAACTTGGCATTTCACTTCACATTTCATGGAATAATAAAAAAAATGAAATATTAATTAAATGCATTAATCAGGAGAACAAAATTAAAAAAAAAAAACAAATGGAAAGTTAAAGTTTTTACTATTTTAAATTTTATAATAAACTACTTCAAAAATTGTTATATATTCCAATATTGCACTCAGAACAACTTACCAAACAAGAATTCAAATAGGAAATTAGCATACAGGAATTTAAATATTGCACTCAGAACAACTTAGCAAATAGAATATGTAACGTCCCGTTATTTTTAAGAGAAAAATAACATTTTATTTTTCCAAAAATAAGAGTTAATTTTTCAAAAACATTTTTAAAGGATTATTTAACGGGCGCTACTCGAATAATCACATAACAACAGTTTAATCCACACTTAACCATCAGGATACAACCATCCCAGATTCAAATATCAAGTCATACAACATTTATTCCATCATGCTAAATATCCAGATAAATTCTAAATATTATTCAAGTTCCATAAATCCCAAGCATTAATGGTTCGGTTTCCACATGATAATTATCTCGAATAAATTTCAACATGTCTGACAGATAAATCAATAATAATAAACAAGCGGTAAGCAATACCATAACAAAATAGCTAATAAATTTGACCTCGCCTCGCTCGTCTTTCGCCACGGCCACCAGCTCAACCTGAAAAGATGGTTAATAGTGGGAGTGAGCAAACAACTAGCTCACCGTGGGAATACCATGCAGTATAATCAATATAAAGGCTTAAAATCATGGTCGCAGTATGTAAGAAAATCGGCTAGCCTACCCTCTCTCAACCAAGCCACTCATGTAATCACACCTAATCCTATCCATCAGACACAAAATAGGTATAGCCGCCACACAAGGACGGGAGCCGTCAATATAACCAAAGACGGGAGAAACCGCAGAGGTAACCTGCACACAGACTAGGCTCTCTAAGGGCTAGAGTTAGGCCTCATAGACTACCGGTTCACATGCATACCTAGATCATCAAGCCAAACATTTATAGAAATTAACATACATGCTAAGGTTTATCAACACCCACCTGGAAATCGCAGGAGGACTACTCGAACAAAAGATTAGTAGGCCAAGGGCTCGACTCCTCAAACACCTATATTTTAGGGATTTAATTATTGTTATGGGTTTTGATTGGGTTGATTAGACCATACAAACAAGTAAGGCACTTATACGAGCACATAATGCAACCAAAATAGGCAAATAAAATCACATAAATTCTAATTTCTCTCGCAACTAATTAAGGCCACTAAACGGTGAGTACAAAGAACATAAATATACTAACAACAAGTTAGCCCTATAAAATGCTTAGCAACTTTATGCTGGAAAACAAGGCCAATGAAAATAAGACATCAACACCTCTCTCTTCATTTCTCAACCAAGATAAAGCATGCCTTAGAACTTTTAAAACTGAAATTTCACTTCTCAGCATATAACTCACAACAACTAATGCTCCGAAATGCACATATAACAGAAATTAAAACACACAAAAAGATCAGCAACCAAGGCATTTGAACAAAGCATACAAAGACACATAAATAGCCTTCTTTTCCTCAATTTCCAAGCTCCGAATATTCACATTTTCACGAGATAGACAAATGGAACAAACTGTAAGCCTCGCAAGCAGTTCATGACATAAAGACATAGATTATCAACTCACTGCCCCAAATAGTAAACAAGTAACTACATTGAGAACACCTAACATTCAGTGAAAGAAAACAATAATTTCAATCTTCAACATAATGCAGTAGTAGCATTGGTGCCCGTGATCACACACAGCAAATAGAAACATAACAATTCCCACAAGCACATACACATTATCAAAATATCCAAAATCACCAATTTAAACACACACACACAAATATATATATATATATATCTTGCCAGGCCACGTTAGATTTTTTATACCATGTGGCAGCAATGGAAAGACCATTAGAGATGCTCTAATAACGGGGAATCTGGGATGCTAACAACCTAGAGAAAAAAACTCATTTACTATTCACGGCTCCCCTTTTACTACTCACCGCCCCCCTAGGACAATTTTGCCCCTGACATTTTTTTCCAAAAAGTTAAAAAAAAATAAAACAAACCTGTCCGGCCGGCGAAACCGGATGACTTTTAGCACGTCCGACCGCCGGAACCGGACGGTTCAAAAGGCGTCCGGTCGGCCGGTTTGGACGACATAAAAGCCGTCCGGAAAGTTCGTCCGGTCGGACGGGCTATGTCTGAACCGGCCGGCCGGACGCCTTAAAAGCCGTCCGGCGGCGACGGCCGGCCGGACAATTTTTATTTTTTTTTTTGTTATAAATTATTATGTTATATATTCGAAATAATTATGTTATAAATTGGACGTTATATATTATATTGTTAGGAGTTAGAAATGATTATGTTACATGTTAGACTTCATTATGCTATTAATTGGACGTTAGATAATATCAGAAATATAATTATTAAATTTTTCCATATGTAATAACTATTAACATATATTATAATTTATTTTTATTTTAATTATTATTATTATTATTATAATTTATAATTGTTATTATAATTATTATAACAAATTATTATTATGATTATTTTTATAAATTGGACGTTAGAATAAAAAAAATCATTTNTTATAATTAATAATAATAATAATAATAATAATAATAATAATAATTGTTATAATAATAATAATAATAATTGTTATAATAATAATTACATTAATAATTATAAATTAAAGTTATAATTACAATAATTAAAATAATAATTTCTAATAATAATTAAAATTAATTATACTAATTATAATAATAATTATGAATTAGAATTAATTATAATAATTATAATAATAATTTCTAATATAATTATAATTAATTGTAATAATTATAATAATACTTGTAAATTATAATAATAATAAGTTTAATAAATACACTAAACAAACGTGAGCCGGAATCCAGTAGTTTTGCTCACGCTCCCATTTTGTTTTTCTCAGGTGACGGAGTACAGTCGGAGCGTGAGCCGAGCGGTGGTATGGTGGTGTCCGAAGACAGCTGGACATTCAATTATGTTTATGTTTATGTTGGCATTTAATAATATAATTTTCAGACTGTATTGTATTTTATTTACGCTTCCGTACTGTATTATGTTTATTTTTATGTTGGATGTTATTATGTAAGTAATATCCCGTGAGTTAGTTAAGTATAAGTATTTTTCGAAAACAGTATCGGCATCTTTCGAATACAAATACGAAAATTTTACTCAGTTTTTCGTAAGTAAAAGTTAGAAAAGGCGGGGTGTTACACCTACGCTTCGAGACATGCTCGTTCTCCTGAGAGTCTGACGGGTCGACTCAGGAGAACGAGCTTGTCCCAAAGCGTGGAAACATACGTCCGTGAGTAAAAAAATGATTAATGAGTCAAATCAAGTTATACAAATGATTAAATAGTTAAAATATTAAATTAACTATATTTTAAGAAATACGATTATATAAATATGGGTAAAAAAATATTATACTAATTAGCTTGTTTATGAATATGTTTAAAATTTTAATTTTGAATTTCAAATAGAGTAGAAGACGGAATAATAAAATTGTTTTCAAAAAGTTTTTAAAGAGTTTAATATTCTGGTAAGTATACTCGTAAGAATAATTTTACTATTTTAATTTAAAAAATTTTGGCAAGTTTATTAATTAGATAAATTCAGTTAGACAAAAGTTTAATTAGTTAAAATATTATAATAATTATATTTTAAAAATTCTAGTTATATAATTGTAATTGTATTAATTAGTTTGTTAGGAATGTGATTATATGGAAGTTAAGATAAAATAAAATGTGCCCAAAAAATCTACTTGTGGTCTTTTCCTTTAAATGTTAGAATTTAAAATCTAATAACCAAATTTAGACTATATCACGTAAGGAAAAAAATAAATAATAAATATTTATTAAAAAGATAAATCAATAATATTTATATTAGTTATATCATAAAAAATTTAGTCATATCATTTTAATTTTCAAAAAAAGTGGCAAGTTTGTTAGAGAGATAATTCCGGTAGATAAATGATTAATTTGTTAAGATATTATATTAGTTATATCATAAAAGAATTAGTTAGTTAATGTAGATAAAAAATATAATATTAATTTAGTTTGTTAGAAATGTGATTATATGAGAATCAAGATAAAATAAAATTTACCCAAAAAATCTGCTTGTGATTTTTTCCTTTAAATGTTTGAATTTAAAAATCTAATGACCAAATTTAGATTGTAAAATTAATTATATTTTATTTCTATTTTTTTCCTCCTCCATTATATTTGCTTCCGCTGCTATTTTTCCGGGATCATGCGACTCAACTCATCACAATCACATCTTTATTTAGTTTTATCAACTCATTAAAATTATATCTATTAAAATAAATTTCCCGTCGAAACCTTTCACTTTCCTGAAGGAAATATTTTTTAAAAGTTTTGAATCCACATTTTATTAATCGAATATTCAGGTTTTATAAAGAATGATTTGTTTCCTAATATGTAAATCTTCTAATTTTAAAAATAATCTTGCAACTTATATTAATGAAAATTAGCTAAATTATTATAGATGTTTTTAGACATTTTTTAATAAATAGCATATAAAACTGTAGGTGTTTAAATAAAAAAAGAATAGATAAATTTAATTGTATTTAACATTTTTTGACATATATATATCTTAGTTTTTATTATCCATGTTAAAGATGTTAAGAAATTTTACATACAACTCACATTAAAGAATCAAAAATGGAATTAACTCATGATTTCAGGAATCACGTGAGAAATTAATCCGCAAAACCGAATTTCATGGGCGGGATATACCAATATTCACGTTAGCCAAATATTTCAAATAAATTTTAGGGGGAAAATAAACATTTGAGCGGGAAAATGAATTATTTTTTTTGAATTTTTTCATGATTTTTTCTTAACTGTATTATATAGTAATAGATTTCTTAAACTTCAGTTAAATGATTTTTTTTGTTTTTATTTCCTAAACTTCAGTTAAATGATTTTTTTTATTCTAACGTCCAATTTATAAAAATAATTATAATTTTTATAATTTTAATTATAATATTTTTTATAATAATTATAATAATAATTTATTATAATAAATTATAATAACAATTATAAATTATAATAATAATAATTATTAAAATAAAAATGAATTATAATATATTTTAATAGTTATTACAAATAGTAATTCATTTTTATTTTAATAATTATTACAAATAGTCACTACATATGGAAAAATTTAATAATTATATTTCTGATAATATTTAACGTCCAATTAATAGCATAATGAAGTCTAACATGTAACATAATTATTTCTAACTCTTAACAATATAATATCTAACGTCTAATTTATAACATAATTATTTCGAATATATAACATAATAATTTATAAAAAAAAAAAAAATTGTCCGGCCGGCCTAACCGGACGGACCGGTTTCGACCGGCCGTCGCCGCCGGACGACTTTCCGGACGGCTTTTATGCCGTCCGAACCGGCCGGCCGGACGCCTTTTGAACCGTCCGGTTCCGGCGGTCGGACGGGCTAAAAGCCGTCCGGTTTCGCCGGCCGGACAAGTCTTTTTTTTTCTTTTTTTTTTTACTTGTTGGAAAAAAATGTCAGGGCTAAAATTGTCCAAGGAGACGGTAAGTAGTAATAGGAGGCGTTGAATAGTACTACCCGAAAAAAAAAATGGGGAAAAGCATAAGAACGAATAGAAAAAGCGAGAGGAAAATCTCAAACAGTGCAGCGATGGCCGCTCGCTTTGCCTCCTCCAAATCCTTCTGCTCCTCATTTCTCTTCTCTTCTAAAGGTCTGTCATCTCTTTCTCTCCGCATTGGCATTTAGCCTCAGTGTATATATGTGACGCCGGAATTTTTATCTCACAGGGGCCGCATTTTCTCCGGCCTGCTTCTCTACAACCGTTGTTGGAGAATCTCCAGTTCTTGTAATTTCACTCCCTCCATCTCTGTCTGCTAGCTGTTCACATCCCTTTTGTGCATTCCATAAGGCTAAGGCATTGATTTGAAAAGTCCTGATCAGTTTCTTGGTTATTTGATGAGGTGAAGGTGAGGGACTTTATTCATGCGGCTTTGTATGACCCTGAACGTGGGTACTTTTCCCAAAGATCGGGTTCCGTTGGAGTGCTTGATAGAAGTATCAAGTTCAATCAGCTGGAAGGTTGTTCCATTTTTTTCTTTAATTGTAGTTGGCGTTTATGTTTTTCATTAGAAGTGCGGATACTATTGTGAAAGTGAGGTTTTGGATTTATTTGGAAATATTTGAGGTTCTAGTGTCTGTTTGATAGTCGACAATGATACCTAATTTAAATTTTAAAAAACATTGCTTACTCTGGGATTTTAGGTTTTTGTTCATTCAGGATGAGGATGCTCTTCAGTATTGGTTATTCTTTTATGATTTTTGCAGAGCTTGAAAATGCCAAGTTCTTGAGACATATATTCTGCATATAGAAAACATAGTGTTAAAAAGTAGGAATAGGATGTGAAATTTGTTGGGAACAAACTTATTTATAAGCTGTTTTTAATGTATTTATATGCCTCGTCTAATTGTCTCTAGTATAACTTAGATATACAGGTAGCACACACTGCTTTAAAATCTTTTGATTGCTCTAAGTTCTCACTGCTCAAATTGAAAACAAATTTTCAGGCCGAAAAGCTTATATGAAGTACCTAAATGCAGTATACAAGCAGAGTGATATATCATGGTTTACTCCAGTTGAGCTCTTTAAGGTGCAGTCCCATTCTCGGGAATGGAGAGTTCCGATAATTGCTATTTGCTTTATTTCTTCTGTTAGTAGAATGTGTGGAGAAGCACCTGTGTGAAAGTACCTCTGTAGTTCTGTAGTCGAACCTTCTAGTTGGGATAATTTTCACATTTCATACTTTTCCTATGAAACAACAAAGGGTTGAGCTGGATTTCATGAATAAAAGTTTCATTTTCCGACTGTTACTGTAGTGGTTCAGTACTTGGTTTGAAGTACTAATTTCTGAAGTCCACTTAGAAGATGAACTTAATTGGTAATTAGGATTAACTTCTCAAAAAGCTTACAATTTCGAATTCTTTGAAATGGGCATTTAAAAAGATTAACCTATTAAGAATTGCATTCCAAATCAATCACCAAACATAAGTTATTTTTGTAGTAGACTTTTACACCCAGAAGTCCATTTGTAAAGTGCTCCCTAACAACAACTTAGTTGGTGAGGAGAAATACATAATTTTAGTTATGCTTTAGCAAATATCCAGTTGTCTTTGTATGGTAGTCTGATCCGCTTAATGTAACCTCTACAACTTTCAACCGTCTAATTCACCTATTTCTGTTTTCTTTTTCTTTCTTAGTTTTCTGCTATTAAGATAATGTCTTCTGATAAATGGATTGATCATTATTCCTTACCTTGGAATTCCATTTGTGTTGCTCATGACATATTCTTGTTTGCATTAGTAAATAGATCATTTGCTACAAGTTTTAGTTTGGTTGTCAGAGCTACGGGTAGGGCTAACAACTTTAGATTGAATTGGCTCATTTGCCTGAAATTTTAAAACCCAACCATGTAGTGAACTTTTAAGCTGTTGTCTTTTTTTTTGGAATAATAAATATAGTTATAAAGTTCCTGAAAGTGAAGCCGACTCTAGAAGCTGGAGACCGTTAATAATGCACATATTTTGTTCTGAAATTAATTTCTCGCACAAGTGACGCCTGGAGAACATGAAATTGGTAAATAAAATATGAAAACGTGTATAAATACATCGATATATTTTTATATTATTTGTTTTGATTAAATCATGGGTTTAATTTTAACTAGGTGAAATTCTCATATCCTGTGATCTTCGTATTTCTTTGCTTTGACTACATGCCTTGTCCCCTATACTAAGTTTGATGCGAGTGTATAATAACAACAGTAGCGATATTAATAACTATTATTTTCAACCCTTTACCCTATTTATATTTCTTTCTCTTTTTTTATTCTGGTAGATATGTTAATTTTTCCTTATTGTTTGCAGCCTTGGTATGCCCATGGGATAGCTGAAGCAATTATGCGAACTGCTAACCTCTCTGTTCCCCTGAAAGTAAGTTACTGAGTTTATTGGTTGCCCTACCACATGTGAATGTTGTCCTGTAAGGAATAGGCTAAAGTCTTTCATACTTTCAGTTTCACTACCTCCACATAAAGTTCTTAAACATTGTTATCAGTTGATCTGGTTTAGATGTGGATCCATCTATAGACCATGCAAACGAGTTATTTGTTACATTGAATGTAGTAAAGAGCTCATGAAACGTGCATGAATCCATTATTTGAGGGTATGGTGGTGGCAGGATTGCATATTGTTGGAACATGTAGAAATCAAATATTATTCTTATAGCATTAAGAGTTCAGCTATATCGGATCTTCAGGTCTCTTGACTGTTATGTCAGCATAATCTCTAGACTTTGTGCTTTAGAATCTGAAATTTGCTTACTCGTGTTAGGCTGGCCAAACATTTCAGTATCTTGAGTTAATCTGTACTTTGGTGCTGACATTGACAATAATGAAAATCATGTGCATTATGCCGTAAAAGCATGGACCCCTTACATAGGTTGCAGCATTACTGTCGACAATGGTCTAAACATTTTAAAACTAGCTTGACTAATACCATCAGTGACTTGATCCCACTTTAATTATTTCAATTCCATAGACATCTCAAAAAATGAGCAACATTTGTATCAGAAATTGACTTCTGAGGAGAACAACTTAAACATACACTAAACTTACAATTCTCCAATTCTTAGTTAAAACTCCTTCCCTTTGAAGCGAATAAATGAAAAAGGATTGGTTGGAGTATTTTCTCAAGATTATCTCCTGTGATGGCCAGGAATTGAAGATTTAGTCATAATTGATACAGTTTCTTACTTGAACTTGTAAACTTCTTCACAGGTTTTTTGTGTTCTTTTTCCTCATTGCAGTCCTTCTTGATAAGCCATATCCTGCTGAGTCCACATAATAGGTTTATTTCAGTGTGTTCCATTCGTTCACTTCAATATCAGAAAACCTGGGAGCAGAGTGCATTTCTCAGAATGAAAAATGTTTGATTTTATTATTGTCCATAAACTAGGGCACTGCTTGTTGGTAAATGCGAACGTAGAAACTTGTACCATACCGAGACAATATGTTTCCAGGCCAAGTGCAGTAGGGACCTTTTAATCTAATCAATAATATTATCGATTTAGCACGCTTTGGAAATATAGATATTTAGCTTATGAATTATGTGTTCTTTCTCTCTTTCTTCCTTTGAAATTGAGTGAAAACTTATCCTTCTCAGATATATGAAATTGGGGGTGGATCAGGAACTTGTGCAAAGGGTGTAATGGATTACATAAAGTTGAATGCACCTACCAGAGTTTATGAAAGTATGACTTACACGTATGTAGTTCCTGGAGTTCCTCTCTTTCTCATTTTTTTATTTTTTTTTCATTTATTTTTTTTTTCTTTCTTGTGTTTTTGTGTTTTCATTTTGGCCAATTTTACACTTTTAGTCTTAGGATCTCCCAGTTTTCCTAGTGCAGTTCTAGATTATATTCAGCATATGCTTTGCTAAGATAACATCAGTGCAAGGGTATGGAGCTTCGACTTAGATATCATGTCTTTGTTTTTGTTTCTTTTTGAGGAATATTTATTTGTCACATGTGTGTACAGTAACTTTTCAATAGTTCAGAAACACTTTAAACTGGATCTAGTTGAGATAGTTCCTTTTTTTTAGTAGTAACAGGAGAGGGTGGTGGGGGTGGGGTTTGGATCTAGCTGTGATAGTATGTATCAAATTTTAAATCTTCAAAGTTCAAGTTTTTCTCGCCTTTCAGGGCATCTTAGCTAGGTTTAGAGCAGCACAGATTGCATTTTGCTGGAACTTCAATTGTATATTGTGATTGTTGTTTTCAACTACTTTCTTTCAAAATAATACCTGCTTAATCATTGCAGTTCAGTAGAAATCAGTTCGTCACTTGCCCAGAAACAACTTGAAACTGTTGGAGAAGTAGGTAGCCACTTGGCAAAGTTTACGGTAGAATGTCGTGATGCTGCTGATCCAAATGGATGGTGTATGATGGCTTTACCCTTCAGGCCTTTTGTTATACTTACTTTTGCAGACTTACCTTGTCTCCAGAACAATGTTTTTTTACATCAATTTTTAGCGAGATTGTATTAAATCGATATGTTTAATGACGAAGTGCTCGTGCTCTGAGGAGGAAAACCTGATCTGAATATTATATTTATTGATACAGGTCATGAGGAACAGCCATGTTGGGTTATAATGTTGGAGGTATGTAGTTGACATCGCTGGTTATAGTTGTTTTTTTTTTTCTTTTTTTTTTGGCTTTTTTTAAATGTTTAGTTTTCAATGCGTAGTGAAGCAACGAATGAATCAATTTGGCGTGAGTCGAAATTGAAAGTTCATATTTAGATTATAAGCTTACTTCTTACCATGTTAAGTTCAGACGCAGAAATTTGGACTCGTAATTATTGAATAGGCGTTTTTATTTTTATTTTTTTGTAGGTTCTTGATAATCTTCCCCATGATCTTATTTTCTCTAAGAATCAAGTCGCGCCTTGGATGGAAGTATGGGTTGAAAAGAGACATGAGGGGTAAGCTATTGGTGTTGTTTGTGTTACTTAATCAGCATATACTTATCAAATTTCTTGACAATGATTGGCTTTGTCCCATTCTGTACTTTTGTTGGTTTGTCACTGACGTGTTTTGGGATGAGTTGAAGTTGCTTAGTATAGAGACAGGTATGCAAAGAGCGGAAGGGGGAATAGAAATCAATGTGATTCAGCTTTTTGCCATGTGCCTGTAAACAAAATTTGTAGATGCATCGACCTTTTAGTTCTCTTTCAGGATAATTTATTAGATGATGAAACCATGATTGACCTCTACTTTTGTTTCACGATAATTAATTAGATGATGAGAAGGAATACCTTAATCCTAATTACACATTTTGGGTTTTCATGAATATAATTGGGTGGAAGCTGAACAATAAGTTGTGGTTTAAACCTATAAATTTCGGCAAAACCAGTTTTACCTACAAACCTTTCTGGAGTCAATGTGAATCCTTGTTAGTAAACAACAATGCAACCACATGACCTATCTGAGGACTGAGATATTAAAGTCCATTGAGCTGATTTTTATCCTTCAGAAACTGGTGCGTCACTGTTATACAATAACTATAGGATGAACTTCTCGTGAATGATGTCGACCGTGGTCAAATAAATATCATTTCTTTCAACTTGTATTGTGATCATCCTGATTCCGCTCCCACTTCATTTATTTCAACTTTTATTGTGATCATCCTGATTCCGCTCCCACTTTCTTAAGGATCTTCTTTTGAATTTTAGGAAAAAATAATCTATCAAAATTCACAGTATGAGTTTGTGCCTATTTTTGGTTTTTCTGCAGAAAGGGTCTGTTTACCAGTGTCACCACAGTTGGAATTCCAATAATTAATTTTTCTTTCATTAAATCTTCAGAATATGGTGGGTTTGTGCTTTGTAATTGGTTGTCGTAGTAGCTGGCAAGAAGGTCGTTCTGAATATAAATTAATTATGCTTTTCCATTCAATATCCCTCTCTGATGCTCCGTGATATTTGATTTTCATTTTATTAGAACTCCATGTTTTCTTTTTCTTTTATAATCCAACAGGCCAGATCTGTGTGAGCTGTATAAGCCTATAGAAGATCCATTAATAGAAAGTTGCATGGAGATCCTGGATTTAGCAAAAGATGGCACTACTCATGGAACCATGGCAGCTTCATTTGCTAGAAGTATTTGGGCTAAATTAGTTCCCAAGCCTCGAAGGTGCTGGCTACCAACCGGTTGCTTTGTAAGACATCATTGCAGAAAATGTTTTTCAAACTCTTACAAGATGGCATTTATTTATGTTGTAATACTATATACTGAAATGAACAGAAACTTCTTCAAGTTTTGCATGGTGCTTTACCAAAGATGTCGTTAATCGCATCGGATTTCAGTTACCTTCCTGATGTACGAATACCAGGTGAACGTGCTCCTCTGGTGGCGGCCAAGGTACAGAGAGTATTGTCATTGCTCTGTGGTGAACTTTTAACTTGTTTTACTTTTAAGGATAATATCGTCATTCTTCTCTTTCAACTTTTTACTTATTCTTTTTTCTATAACTGATGTAGAAGCTTGGGGAATGTGGATTTTGCACTCTCTTCAAATTTGGATGAGTGAATATAACATTATTATAAAAGAAAATATCACAAAATCCTGATGTTCTTTTGTTCTTGTTTTGAGTTCATTTAGATAGGTGTCATTCCTGTGGACCTGTATCACCTAAAAGTCACTACCATGTCTGTATCTCTACAAATAGTAGTTGAAGTAATATATTTTCTGGTGTCAAAATTGATAGGGATATGTGGTCCCCAATATGTTTGCTTACAACTTTGGTTGCTCGTCACTTATGTTATTTCTTTTGTGTTATTTGGCAATGACCACAACCATTTCTTTCTTGTCCATATAATGTATTCTTAGTGAAAACTTCACCCTGCTTCCACATTTCTTTTGTATCTAATCTGATCAACAAATAAAGTGACTGTGGAAGGTGGCCTATTAAGTTCATTTGCAATTTGTCCTTATCCTTTGCAGAAAGATGGGAATAGCTCGGATTACAACAATTATCTGGATGCGAAGGTTTATTTTTGTTCTCTCTTGTTATCACTTTCCACTTTAATCTATTTTTCGTGCTCATATGGAACTTCAGCCTGACTATTTTATTTTTCTGCATCTCAAACTGTAGGGGAGTTATGCAATTTATCGAACTTATGGAAGTATGATTATAGAAAATGGTAAAAACAAGATTAAAAAAAAAAAAATGAGGTTAACTGAATAATATGGATGTCTTAAAGAGACTAGTCATTTTAATGCAGGCATTTTCTATGAGTTCTCAACTGTTAACTGATTACTCTTGGAGGCCAAGAGCTTATGGTAGCTATTGCAATTGGATATGACATTGAATAAAATGAGGTTAATTTGGTCATTTCTGATATTATCACACATGATGAACTATTTGATATTGTTATCATTTGGTATTTATTTATGTGATGATGAATGTAACCAGCATCATTATTACAAGAGGACTTCCACTGTGAAAAAAAAAAAAAAAAAAAAAAACAAGTAAACCAATAGTAATGCAATGAGGAAAAGAAAAATTCTGAATCTTTTTAGAAAAGTATGAATACTAATATCAAGAAACAAAAATCTTTTAAAATTACTACATTTTTAGTTGCTAGCATTTAAGTATATGTTCTCTATAAGAAATTAGTTCTCATAAATAATGATTCGATATTATCATAAGATAGACTACAAACTTTAATAATGACTTCATAATAATAAAGTTAACAGATGACTAAGAGTATCATAATATAATATAATTCAAATTCTTCTCATCTGAAATATTTTGACAAATACTTCTCAATATTGTATCATTGTTTTGTTTTCTTTTGTTATTATTGAAGAATCAATATAGGATCTTTATATTGAATTTTTTAAGCATTAGTTATGATACAAAAGATTGGACAATTAATAAATTCAATAAATGTTATTAGACACATAAATATTGCAAATCCGAAAGAATATGGAAGGTATTTATCTTCCAAATTAATAACACTGAAAAGAGAATGTTTGATACTGATTAAAATATTTTTGAATGTTGAATAAGTTCACTTTTTTATAAGAATATTTACAATCATAACTGTGTATTGTGCTCGATCATACACGCAATTGTTTTAGAGTACATATTTTTATGTAATGTGATGATTTTAATAAAATAATTTAGCATCTTCAGAGAAGTACATGATTTTGGAAAATTAAATTTTATTTAGAGATGAAATTCGTTCTCACCTCATGGGGTAAGTACCAATTTATCTATGTGGAGAGAGAGAGAGATAGATAGAGAGAGATAGAGAGAAATGTAGTAGTTTATACAGTGATTAAAAGAAATATCAAGAATTTTAATGACACAAATATCAAGAAATTTAATGCTACAATTGTTTATTTCACAGAGATACTTATGAACTATTAGTAGAAATACCTTATAATGATCATACAATCATAAAGTTTGGCTATATGTTTCTAAGTGTTGAATAAAACAGACGTTTTGCCAAATTAATTAAGAAGACTTTTGCAATACTATTGATCTATTAGAATTCAACGAGTATGAATGTTTCTTATGAGAACATCAAAACCAAAATAAAAGAAAATGACTCTTGAATCTAACATAAATAAATAAAAGAACTCATGCATCTAT